ATTAAAAAAGAGAATTGGAGATATTATACGAATTCAGTAAGTGGTTTGCATGTGGTTAGTATGTGATTGCTATCACCCATATGGTGAAACATAACCAGTGTCATATATATCATATGTGCACATATCACTTTTGCCGAGCAACCATTGTTTCTGTGTTTCGTCGTCTGTGACGTCATTAAACAATTGAACGTGACGTCAATGAAGTGGGCCGTCACACTTGCTTACTTGTTTTACTGCACAACTGTACATGAATGAAATGGATAATAAAGAAATTACAAAATTTCACACTCGTTTCGTATAAGTCGTATGACACACTTGCTCGTGTAATGAATGTCTTGTATGACACACTTGCTTGTGAGAATGAGGTTAGTATGTGGTTGATTGTGGTGAGAATGAAGTTAGTATGTAGTTGATATGTGATGCGAATATGGTTAGTATGTGGCTGATATGTGGTGAGAATGAGGATAGTATGTAGTTGATATGTGGTGAGAATGAGGTTAGTATGTAGTTGATATGTGATGCGAATATGGTTAGTATGTGGCTGATATGTGGTGAGAATGAGGATAGTATGTAGTTGATATGTGATGAGAATGATGGTTAGTATGTGGCTGATATGTGGTGAGAATGAGGATAGTATGTAGTTGATATGTGGTGAGAATGAGGTTAGTATGTGGCTGATATGTGGTGAGAATGAGGTTAGTATGTAGTTGATATGTGGTGAGAATGAGGATAGTATGTAGTTGATATGTGGTGAGAATGAGGTTAGTATGTAGTTGATATGTGGTGAGAATGAGGTTAGTATGTAGTTGATATGTGGTGAGAATGAGGTTAGTATGTAGTTGATATGTGGTGAGAATGAGGTTAGTATGTGGTTGATTTGTGGTGAGAATGAGTATGTAATGAGGTTAGTATGTATTTGATATGTGGTGAGAAATGAGGTTAGTATGTAGTTGATATGTGGTGAGAATGAGGTTAGTATGTGGCTGATAGTGAGAATGTTAGTATGTAGTTGATATGCGGTGAGAATGAGGTTAGTATGTAGTTAATATGTGGTGAGAAGGAGGTTAGTATGTAGTTGATATGTGGTGAGAATGAGGTTAGTATGTAGTTGATATGTGGTGAGAATGAGGTTAGTATGTAGTTGATATGTTGTGAGAATGAGGTTAGTATGTAGTTGATATGTTGTGAGAATGAGGTTAGTATGTAGTTGATTTGTGGTGAGAATGAGGTTAGTATGTAGTTGATATGTGGTGAGAATGAGGTTAGTATGTAGTTGATATGTGGTGAGAATGAGGTTAGTATGTAGTTGATATGTGGTGAGAATGAGGTTAGTATGTAGTTGATTTGTGGTGAGAATGAGGTTAGTATGTAGTTGATATGTGGTGAGAATGAGGTTAGTATGTAGTTGATATGTGGTGAGAATGAGGTTAGTATGTAGTTGATTTGTGGTGAGAATGAGGTTAGTATGTAGTTGATATGTGGTGAGAATGAGGTTAGTATGTAGTTGATATTTGATGCGAATATGGTTAGTATGTGGATGGTAGTGCACACGCCCCCGCACGCACACACACAAGATGGACAGAAATACATTTGGTTTCACGAATTGCCAAAGAATCGAACCAGGATACCGTTTCGACTTAAACTTCAGGGTGCCTCTCAGCGCCCTCTCACTCACTGGTCACTAGAAAGGAACTTTTTCCAGGAAGTCTTTCATGAGACAAAATATAAATAATTTTAATGTACTCCAAAACTAAAACGAAACACAGCTGAATATAGTTGCAGATTATGTTCAGGATCTACTACTACTACCTATTCCCGCGACTCTACATTGATCAGATTCCATATCTCCCTGGGTTTTTTACTGTTTTTTTACGTCTGAAAACACTACAAAGCAGTGGCGTAATCTTGGGCTTACTCCTATCAAACATATTTAATCCATTTAAGAATTAATCAATGAAGTTATAAATGGTTTCACGACATACCTTTCTCGAGCGTTGCTGTCACATGTTGCAGGTTACCGTCATATTGCCGGTCAATACAGTGCTAAACTGACCATTTACTAACAGGTGCTTGTCGGTCAACACTGACCTGCGGGTACTGTGGACACAAGCGGTCACCATGTACGTTCAAGTGATCTTAGCCCCGCTGCCACTATACCACCAAGCTTGATATACACACTCTCAAGAGAATAAAAATATTTTGGTATGATTTACTTATTATTTGGGATTTCACTGATGGCGTGTATTATTTTTTCGCCTTTGATAGAAACGGTTTATTTCCAGCGTCAATACTCCGTCGCTACAGCATTATTGAATTATCGCCGGTTTGGGTAAATAGCAATATAGAGGTCTTCAGTAGTCATAGTCGGGACATGACCTGGCGGCTGAGTCAATATGGGTAATTGGGCGATTTCTATCTACCTTGCAAAAGTGACTGTTTAGTTATAGGTGACTGCTTGTTAATATACACTTCCTGAGCTGTTAGATTCATTACAAGGGACACGCTTCAAGGCTTCTCGCCATGGCCTTAACATTGCGGTTTGATGAAATTTGGACAAATGCCGAAATAAACCATAGGTTATATTATTTATTTCTGACGCGGTCGATAAACATTAAACACATGACGACCATTGTGTATGAACTATTGAAAGAGATCTGTTTGGTTTGTAATAATTAGTGATCGACACGTGTCATGGAGGGAACTCGGATGTCTGGTTGGTTTGTTGTTTAACGCCGCACTCAGTAATATTCCAGCTGTATGGCGGCGGTCTGTAAATAATCGAGTCTGGACCACACAATCCAGTGATCAACAGCATGAGCATCATTGTACGCAACTGGGATACAATGACATGTGTCAACCAAGTCAGAGAGCCTGAACATTCAAACGGATATCTGGCATGCAAGGGTGATTGATATGGTGACCTGACCTAAACGACATTAAAATCATGTATTTTAAAAAATAATCCCTTCCAAAGTGATACCATGTTCAAGATATTTTTATGGATTAAACTTCTTTTTAATTTCTCTCACGACGTTTCGAGACCATTCTAGGTACCTGGAATGGTCTCGAAACGTCGTGAGAGAAGGGACCTGGAATGGTCTCGAAACGTCGTGAGAGAAATTAAAAAGAAGTTTAATCCATAAAAATATCTTGGACATCAATGTACAACTTCTAAATGCCACTGAAAGACATGATACCATGTTGCCAACTACGTCGGAGGGATTTTGTCCCGGTTTAAGGAAGTCCTCTAGGATGTCCACAACGTTCCCCACGACTGCTATAAACGTTTGAGTCGAAAGGGTTCCTGTTTGGGTTTTCTTCACGTCATCTGCATGACGTCAGACGGACAGTGGGTGCCGAAGGGTTCAAGGACACATTGTTGGGTTGTAGCCGTGGCACGGACAGTTTGTGGACTGATGTGTTGGTGGAATACAACCGTGATTCAGTCTCCCTTAGAGCCGTAATTCCGGTCACTAAAGTATGTGCTCCGTTGATTATCTGACTTTCTGGATGGCAGTCCACAACACAGAGGCATTAACCTTGATTGGACAATCATTGCTTTTTTTGCTGATGTTTCTATTGATTTGATAATTGGTTGAACACTGGTTTCACGCTAACAAACCAACGTTTCTTCCATAGCCACAAATCTCTTCAAGAACCTTTCTGGAGCAGCTTCACACAAAGCTACTTTCGGTACGATTTGTGTCAGTTGTCAGAACACAACCCGCTAATACCTTCGTCACTGCCAACGTTTCAGCGATAATGCAATACATTCCCGCCACTGAAATGCCTACCGAAATATCTATAAGACGCCCATTGATTCGCCAGAATGTCATCACCATATCGTTGATTCTCTGGGTCGTTTATGGGGATGACATTCTGTACGGAACAAGGGTCGTCTTGCCCTCACATAAACTATGTTGCCAACCACTGCATAGGAAGGGTCATCCCTCTCCAGGATACGACCCGTGAAGACCCGGGTTAGAATTGGTCTTTAACAACCCGTGCTTGTCGTAAGAGGCGATTAACGGGATCTGGTGGTCAGGGTCGCTGACCTGATTGATAATGTCATCGTATCCCAACTCCGTAGATCGATGCTCATGCTGTTGATCACCGGATTGTCTGGTACACACCGCCGCCATATAGCTGGAATATTGCTGAGTGCGGCGTTAAACAGCAAACAAGCAAACTTCTCAAGGGTGGTACATTTCGTTATGGATGGCTGAGACATTTTTCTGCAAGTACTAGGTACCGCGCGTTCCTCAAGTTCATTTTCCAAAAGATCAAGGTGACTTTACATCGAAAACATTTGCTCATTGAACCATGTTTTTGTAGATACACCTGTACGGCATCATGTAATGTCCTCACTAATGTCCGATTTCCTCTATGCGAGGCTCAGCTTTGGTACAAATGAAAGAACTGGCAAGTTTTTTGTATCTAGTATTTATGTCATTAACAAGTTACATCTTATCATGTCAATGTCCTTCTAGGAGCTGAATGCATTCCGTTCATTTATTTTTATTTGTTGATCTGTATCGTTTTACTGGACTTTGTCGTTGATGCCATCTCTACAAATTGGTGGTAAAACATTTAGAAAAAGAAGTAGGCATTCCATTTAAGACGAGCTCCATTTATGACCTCGCTTCTTTGCGAATCTGGTTCTATGTATGCATATGAAACAGCCGTGATTTCTGTTTTGGTTGGTAAAATCAAAACAAGGTCACCTCCTTGCAAATCTGGTTTGGCATATGAAACAGAATTTCTGGTAAAATCAAGGTAATTTGGCAAAGAGGTTTAACGTAATCTTCAGCTATATCGATGATCTAATGTCGTTCAATAACAATCAAATAGCCAATTCCCTTTGATTTACCCACCTGAACTTGAAATAAAGGAAACGCGTGAAACCGCTTCATGTGTTTCATATTTAAGTCTATACATTTTTAATCAAAGTCACAAAATACTCTCCACATGGGTTTATGACAAGAGGGGTGATTTTTTACTTTCCATTCGCCAACTTCCCTTCATGTCGAGCAATATTCCCACAGCTCCAGCCTTTGGGGTTAACATCTCACATTCTTAGATACAGTCGAGCATGCTCCTTTAACCAGAATTTCATACGACTGTTGCTCAGACGGTGTTCTGTCACGGTTGCAACATTCAACGCCTCAGTTAAAATTTTATGGAAGACACGGGAAGACATTTCAAACTGAAAAATATTATGTCAGATGTAATCCTCTATTTTGACTTACACCAAACGATTCCTTTCACATGAACAATTGACTTGCCTTTGCATATGTTTATGATCAGTGCCGTCGGTGGGGCAGTATACGCTCACCTGTATCTGGTACCTCTACTATTTGATAGTGATTCATTAACACATGCTGTCATCGTATCTCCTTCGTTGTCTGGTCGATAGTTTACTGACCGCCGTCATTCAGCTGTAATAATGCTGAATGTGGCGTTAAACATACAAACATACATACACATGCTCATAATGTAGTCGGATTTTTGTACAATCGACCCTGCTTTCAACGGAAATTTCTTATGGATGTGGAAAATGTTTGGTCGCATATGCATGTATTTCCTTTGTGAGTGTATGTCTGTATGTCTGTATGTCTTCGTCTATGCGTGCCTATTTGAAGCATGTTGGGTGCATTACCGGTGAAAAAGATAAAAATATAGAAACGATGTAGTGATCACATCAAACAGAGCGACCTGTGACAGGTACACATGTCAGACAATTCATAATTCTCTTCAAAGGGAACTGGCGTAAAAGGCGCTGAACTACAGTGTGAATTGAATGAGAAAGGCCACGAAGACTGTGACTGACAAGAGGGCATACAGTATGAGGAAGAGCCGGTCAAGGACTACAGCAATGGTGAGCCAGTCCTTGGCCTCAGCCGAGACTTGGGCATCCTTCTCAGGAGCTGGTGCTTGAGATGTTGCTGGAGCTGGCGCTTGAGATGTTGCTGCTGCTGTCGTTGTGGCTGTGTCTGTGACTTGGGCTGAGGTTGCGGCTGGTTGCGCGTTTTCTTCATCGGAATGTAAGACATTTTCTAATTGAATCTTTCCTTCTTCCTGGAAACAGAAAGTTGTTAATAGTGCGTGATGATCGTATTGAGACACTGTGGGATGTCAGCGAAACCTAACGGATTGTGCCATCAATGTAAAACAACGTATTGCTATATCAGTGTAAGATACCGTATTTTGGTTTACATTGAAATAACATACTTGTGCATCTTCTCTCAGTATGTGTGGTCGTTTAATGAGCAATAACCGTCCAAGCTTGTCAATGATAAGTGTCCGGACTCTTGGAGGAACCTTCCACCCCTGCTGACCCTTCATGTGGACCTTCAGTACAGCCACAGCCAGGACACAGGAGGTACTGGACAGAACCATCACCAGCACAAAGTAGACGCCTGCAACATTCAGGAGGACAGGGCTATAGAGGACCAGACAGATGAAGATGCCTGCAACATTCAGGAGGACAGGGCTATAGAGGACCAGACAGATGAAGATGCCTGCAACATTCAGGAGGACAGGGCTATAGAGGACCAGACAGATGAAGATGCCTGCAACATTCAGGAGGACAGGGCTATAGAGGACCAGACAGATGAAGATGCCTGCAACATTCAGGAGGACAGGGCTATAGAGGACCAGACAGATGAAGATGCCTGCAACATTCAGGAGGACAGGGCAGGAGGACAGATGAAGGCCTGCAACATTCAGGAGGACAGGGCTATAGAGGACCAGACAGATGAAGATGCCTGCAACATTCAGGAGGACAGGGCTATAGAGGACCAGACAGATGAAGATGCCTGCAACATTCAGGAGGACAGGGCTATAGAGGACCAGACAGATGAAGACGCCTGCAACATTCAGGAGGACAGGGCTATAGAGGACCAGACAGATGAAGATGCCTGCAACATTCAGGAGGACAGGGCTATAGAGGACCAGACAGATGAAGATGCCTGCAACATTCAGGAGGACAGGGCTATGAAGATGGACCAGAGAGGACCAGACAGATGAATGCCTGCAACATTCAGGAGGACAGGGCTATAGAGGACCAGACAGATGAAGATGCCTGCAACATTCAGGAGGACAGGGCTATAGAGGACCAGACAGATGAAGATGCCTGCAACATTCAGGAGGACAGGGCTATAGAGGACCAGACAGGATGAAGACAGGGCTATAGAGGCCTGCAACATTCAGGAGGACAGGGCTATAGAGGACCAGGACAGGGCTATAGAGGACAGACAGAAGACAGGAGGCCTGCAACATTTCAGGAGGACAGGGCTATAGAGGACAGATGGGCTATAGAGGACCAGGACAGATGAAGATGATGAAGATGCCTGCAACATTCAGGAGGACAGGGCTATAGAGGACCAGACAGATGAAGATGCCTGCAACATTCAGGAGGACAGGGCTATAGAGGACCAGACATGAAGATGAAGACTATAGAGGCCTGCAACATTCAGGAGGACAGGGCTATAGAGGACCAGACAGATGAAGATGCCTGCAACATTCAGGAGGACAGGGCTATAGAGGACCAGACAGATGAAGATGCCTGCAACATTCAGGAGGACAGGGCTATAGAGGACCAGACAGATGAAGATGCCTGCAACATTCAGGAGGACAGGGCTATAGAGGACCAGACAGATGAAGATGAGGAGACAGGGCCTGCAACATTCAGGAGGACAGGGCTATAGAGGACCAGACAGATGAAGATGCCTGCAACATTCAGGAGGACAGGGCTATAGAGGACCAGACAGATGAAGACGCCTGCAACATTCAGGAGGACAGGGCTATAGAGGACCAGACAGATGAAGATGCCTGCAACATTCAGGAGGACAGGGCTATAGAGGACCAGACAGATGAAGATGCCTGCAACATTCAGGAGGACAGGGCTATAGAGGACCAGACAGATGAAGATGCCTGCAACATTCAGGAGGACAGGGCTATAGAGGACCAGACAGATGAAGATGCCTGCAACATTCAGGAGGACAGGGCTATAGAGGACCAGACAGATGAAGATGCCTGCAACATTCAGGAGGACAGGGCTATAGAGGACCAGGAGGACAGGGCTATAGAGGACCAGACAGAGGAGGGCAGGACCAGACAGATGAAGATGCCTGCAACATTCAGGAGGACAGGGCTATAGAGGACCAGACAGATGAAGATGCCTGCAACATTCAGGAGGACAGGGCTATAGAGGACCAGACAGATGAAGACAGATGAAGCCTGCAACATTCATGCCTGCAACATTCAGGAGGACAGGGCTATAGAGGACCAGACAGATGAAGATGCCTGCAACATTCAGGAGGACAGGGCTATAGAGGACCAGACAGATGAAGATGCCTGCAACATTCAGGAGGACAGGGCTATAGAGGACCAGGAGGACAGGGCTATAGAGGACCAGACAGATGAAGATGCCTGCAACATTCAGGAGGACAGGGCTATAGAGGACCAGACAGATGAAGATGCCTGCAACATTCAGGAGGACAGGGCTATAGAGGACCAGACAGATGAAGATGCCTGCAACATTCAGGAGGACAGGGCTATAGAAGACCAGACAGATGAAGATGCCTGCAACATTCAGGAGGACAGGGCTATAGAGGACCAGACAGATGAAGATGCCTGCAACATTCAGGAGGACAGGGCTATAGGAGGAGGACCAGACAGATGAAGACGCCTGCAACATTCAGGAGGACAGGGCTATAGAGGACCAGACAGATGAAGATGCCTGCAACATTCAGGAGGACAGGGCTATAGAGGACCAGACAGATGAAGATGCCTGCAACATTCAGGAGGACAGGGCTATAGAGGACCCAGATGCCTGCAACATTCAGGAGGACAGGGCTATAGAAGACCAGACAGGAGACATGACAGATGACAGATGCCTGCAACATTCAGGAGGACAGGGCTATAGAGGACCAGACAGATGAAGATGCCTGCAACATTCAGGAGGACAGGGCTATACGGGACCAGACAGATGAGGACGCCTGCAACATACAGGAGGACAGGGCTATAGAGGACCAGACAGATGAAGATGCCTGCAACATTCAGGAGGACAGGGCTATAGAGGACCAGACAGATGAAGACGCCTGCAACATTCAGGAGGACAGGGCTATAGAGGACCAGACAGATGAAGATGCCTGCAACATTCAGGAGGACAGGGCTATAGAGGACCAGACAGATGAAATGTTTGGTCTACAAGAGGTAAAAACAAGTTTTATATAAATATGGCCTACATATAATATTTCACTCACAGATTAACGGCAGCGGTTTGGAGTTTGGTGGGAGAGTGTCCTGTGTGAGAAAGAGGAAGACGCTGAGTGACAGGAGAAGGCTGACCTCCAGGGCCAACTTCTCCCCCGAGGCTGACGGGAGGAAGAACCCGAGCACTGAGATACTGCAGATGAGGAAGCAGGGGAAACACAGGGTGAGCATGAAGAACGCTGGTCTTCTCCTGAGGTTCAAAGTGTAGGTGATGGAGCTGTACTGTTTGTTGTTGTAGATGTATGGCTTTCTTCCAACGTCAACCCCCAGCAGGTCCCACTCGGCGTTCTCCATGTAGTACGCGGTATCTCCCTCCTCGTGGCTGGTTAGGACAACGGTAGAGTCGTCGTGGACCCACAGACCGAACTGAAGAGGGCAGTTCTGTCTGTCGAAGGGGAAGTAGGTTGTGTCGACGTCGCAGATGCTGTTGAGTACTGAAGGGAACGTCTGTGACACTCTGCCCTCACTAGTGACTGAAAGTTTGTAGAACTTCCTCTCCGACATGCCCACGCTATTGCCATACGTTGTGCTGGAGTGAGTGAGTGAGTGAGTGAGTGAGTGAGTTAAAGTTTTACGCCGCTCCAAGCAATATTCCAGCAATATCACGGCTGGTGACACCAGGAATGGGCTTCACACATGGAACCCATGTGGGGAATCGAACCCTGGTCTTCGACGTGACGAACGAACGCTTTAACCACTAGGCTACCCCGCCGCCCCTGAAGTTCTAGAATATCATGTGCCTATTGTGTTCAAATACATACAAGGACGACGTTATGTAGTAGTGATTTCTTATGAATATAGAAACAGTTTAAATGCTCCTATTCACTGACAGAATTTAGGAGGCTGAAGGGGCGGTAGGGTAGCCTAGTGGTTAAAGCGTTTGCTCGTCACGCTGACGACCCGGGTTCGACTCCCCACATGGATACAATGTGTGAAGCCCATTTCAGGTGATATTGCTGGAATATTTCAAAAAGCAGCTTGGTTATTGCGTGAACGGCTAAATGAAAATATAAGGTATTTTTATGTATACCAAATTTCAGTACGGCGGCTGTTTAAGGAATCCAATCAGTTAGTTGTAAGTACACTGCATTATGTAACAATCAGCCTACTAACACCCTGGTTTTAGGGTCCAGGATCGCCAGGTAGCTAAACAGATTAAAGTACTCACTCATCATACAGTGTGAGATCCGGAGTCCATACATGGTCCGCTGAGACATAGATGACGTCAGTCCCATTGAACCTCGTGCTGTTCCAGGTGAGCCTACAGTCGGTCCAGTTCTGTCAGCAGCAGATGATGACAGCTTCTTGAATAACTGACATTCCTTCCATCTAACTCGACCTTTGTGTCTAGATCTGGACTTTTATCTTAAATACTCTGTAACTTGTCCGCTTGACATATATATTGTGCTTAGCTACAAACGGTCACACAAAGGTATTCAAAAATAACTGCGAATTTACCACATCACTGAAAACTTACCTAACGGTTTTCCTCGATTAACATCCTCGTTCATTAACTTAATATTGTTTCGGAGAGTTTCTTCCATATCTGGAATGCGTTTTTTTCCAAGTATTTTATTTTCTTTGACAGTGTTAGGATTTAATTGATTTGTCTCTCATTCCCAAAAGCAGTTTTTTTAACTGAAATCACTGATATATATTTCAGAATCAGAATATTTCTAACAGTATCAGAATCGTCCTCAGGATCTGCATTAAGAAGATACGGAACTTATAGTTGATAAAGATAAATATTGTTGAAACTTTAATTATGTGTAGTACCGTTTCACTATTTGTTTCTATTTAAAGGTGATGGGGCTGCGCAGAGTTGCGTCCTCAAAGCGTGGCAGGATCCTGTGATCATGGATTCGACCCCCAGAATCCCCCCTGATTATGTCACAGCCCTACACCACACCTCTTTTATAAAGATGTCTAAGATTCACATCAAGTTTACATTTAAATCATGTCTGTAGCTTATGAAGCAATTGAAGATTGCATATTACAAACAGTCCTACAGAATAACGATCATTCTAGATCGTTCTTTGATCTTTGTGTCCCGCCGCACTTAAACCACTGAGAAACACTCACTCACTCTTAAAGGAGGTAATTGCTATCAGGGATATATTATGTGAAACTGATACTTGATAGCCTACTCTCATCCTTAGATTGTAAAAGATAACATAAATCGGGCTATTTCCCTAAACAAACGTACTCAACGATGACAGTCTTCCGGGTCACGCATTTTCCTTGTAGGACAAGTGTCCAGGAAAGATTGACACGCCCACCGCAAATGTATGCATGACTGCTTCTACTGTGATTACTTCTATAAATTACATGTTACGTATTTTCTTTATTCATGTCATATTCTACATAATACTTTGGTTTTAAGATAATTTTTCATTTGTCGCTGTCTGTTTCCATATAAGATTCAATGTCAACGTGGACGACTTTGCAAACATTTGGTTCAAGAAATTGCAATTCATTACTCGTCACATTACATTAACGGTTTAAATTCCGCGAATATTTCTGTCTCCACTCACATATATGCATTCGTCAAAACGTATTGACACTGTCTGATGTGATGCTTGAGGTTACACAACAGAATCACTGACTAATGGAAAATCACCAAATTTCCAGAATTAATTACGACAATGTTTCAGACAGGTGCATGGTGATACTAATCCAGTCGACCCAACAGTAGCTCTTAGCTGACATGTTATGTATCGCAATGGGGATCCCGGAGGAGAGGAGATCGTGGAGGAGAGGAGATCCCGGAGGAGAGGAGATCGTGGAAGGAGAGGAGATCCTGGAGGAGAGGAGATCGTGGAGGAGAGGAGATCTCCAGTAACATTGGCGTATCATAAATTGGATCAGCTTATTAGGCTCTGTGGCTTCACTGATGTCATTATATTGTATGTGGATAACTGACCCTGCTTTTAGTCACTGGATTGTCAGGTACAGACTCGATAAATTTACAGATCGCAGTCATACACCTGTAATATCGATGCGGCATAACACAGCATTCTTTCTTTAACTTCATTACACAACGAAATGCAGCTCATCCTGCATCAATATCTACACAAACAATAGATTTCCATATTTGCGGTAACATTACTCACGTGATGCGGCTCAAACGAGTGTTTCGAAGGCTGTTTCAAGCATAACAAGTTGTGCAGTTAATGAGGACAAGAATCAGACATTGAAACAAGTCGAACAGAATGGGGCAGAACAAACACAGGACTCACCAGACGCACCCACACGTTGCTTGTCAACACCTCCGCTGTGTCATCCTGAAACAGATTATCACACATCCATCACAGGTGAAAACCTGGCGTCATCTTGGGATACTCTTGAATACAACTCGCCAACATTCGGCCCTCAGTACTGTCCAACAATGACACCATCCAATGACACCCAAGTACTCAACCGGGCCAACACTTACCCTTTCAGTACTGTCCAACAATGACACCATCCAATGACACCCAAGTACTCAACCGGGCCAACACTCAGTACCCCTCAGTACTGTCCAAACAATGTCCAACAATGACACCATCCAATGACACCCAAGTACTTAACCGGGCCAACACTTACCCCTCAGTACTGTCCAACAATGACACCATCCAATGACACCCAAGTACTCAACCGGGCCAACACTTACCCCTCAGTACTGTCCAACAATGACACCATCCAATGACACCCAAGTACTCAACCGGGCCAACACTTACCCCTCAGTACTGTCCAACAATGACACCATCCAATGACACCTAAGTACTTAACCGGGCCAACACTTACCCCTCAGTACTGTCCAACAATGACACCATCCAATGACACCCAAGTACTCAACCGGGCCAACACTTACCCCTCAGTACTGTCCAACAATGACACCATCCAATGACACCCAAGTACTCTTAACCGGGCCAACATTTACCCCTCAGTACTGTCCAACAATGACACCATCCAATGACACCCAAGTACCCAACCGGGCCAACACCTACCCCTCAGTACTGTCCAACAATGACACCATCCAATGACACCCAAGTACTGACACCCAGTACTCAACCGGGCCAACACTTGACCCATCCAATCCAAGTACCCAACCGGGCCAACACTGTCCAACAATGACACCATCCAATGACACCCAAGTACTCAACCGGGCCAACACCTACCCCTCAGTACTGTCCAACAATGACACCATCCAATGACACCCAAGTACTCAACCGGGCCAACACCTACCCCTCAGTACTGTCCAACAAAGGCAGTACTAAGGTTACCGAAATATATTGCATGCCCTCGTTCTGTACAACAGAAGAGTCATCTGAGGGGACCCAAAGATTTAACTATACCAACTCTTACTCACGGATAAAGTCCAACAATGTCCTGGTAGAAGGAAGGCATCAAAAGATTCGACTCGCCAAGAAATGGCGTCATTTTAGGGTACAAAAGTTTATAACTCGTCTAACAGTATCCCTCAGTAAACCACACAAGGATGAAACCCGCCATTATCATTAATGTCCATTATTGGCGTCATCTAAAGGCATCGGCCATTCCAGCATTATTCTAAGGAAACAACTTAGCAGCGCAACAAAACAGGCTCAGCCGGTAAAGGTTAGCTAGCTGACACCGAAGAAAGGGTTTCATTCCCTTAATGGTACCACATGTAAAGTCCGTTACACTGTGGTAGCTAGGACGTAATGGGGCTTTCACAATGCATCCACATCTTACCAGAGTGATGATTTGTCTGAGACTGAGATCCATGTGTACAGAGGTGTCATTCCCCTCACACACTGGTCGTTCTTCCTCCAGGTAAACACCGACATACTTCTCCACGAGGTCAGAGGAAGAACCTGCACAATAGAGCAGTTGAAACAATGTCACGCTAGTACAAATAAACATGTTTCGGTTCTGTGTCTTGTTGATTATGAGGCGATGGGCGATCCAAGCGGTTAACGCGTTCGCTCGTCAGGCCGAAGACCCGTGTTCGATTCCCCACATGGGTCCAGTGTGTGAAGCCTATTTCTGGTATCCGCCGCCGTGATATTGCTGGGTATATTGCTAAAAGCGGCGTAAAACTAAACTCACTCACTCTTGTTCATTATCTGAAGTTGCAATACTCGAGTTGTACTCACACTTAGACATGGTTTCCTTGAACAAACAGATCACCAGCAGCAGCTGCAGGTTGTCCATGTTGTGGCCTGTGTGACAGCTTTACTCGCTTGTAAGGAAAATGGCAGGTGTCACTATGGTCATGCAACGTTGTGTATTTTATTATCCTCAAACCAAATCAATTCATGTCCGTTTTGCCTTTTATAGACCTGAGAATTATTATCATGCTTCATAGATATCACATATCAATGATATCAGATTGGTACAATACATCATTAGCATATCTCTGGATTGTTAAACGGATTTGTAATTCAGCGCATGACAACGCCTCTTCTGAGGAGGTCAACGCATGTCAGCGCCTTTTGTTAGGAGTCAACGCATGTCAACGCCTTTTCCTAGGAGTCAACGCATGACAACGACCTTTTCTTAGGGTCAACACATGACGACGCCTCTTCTTAGGAGTCAACACATGACAACGCCTTTTCTTAGGAGTCAACGCATGACAACGCCTCTTCTTAGGAGTCAACACATGACAACGCCTTTTCCTAGGAGTCAACACATGACAACGCCTCTTCTTAGGGGGTCAACGCATGTCAACGCCTTTTCTTAGGGTCAACACATGACGACGCCTTTTCTTAGGAGTCAACGCATGACAAAGACTTTTCTTAGGAATCAACGCATGACGACGCCTTTTCCTAGGGTCAAGTCACGCCTTTTCTTAGGGTCAACGCATGACAACGCCTTTTCTTAGGAGTCAACACATGACAACGCCTCTTCTAGGGGTCAACGCATGTCAACGCCTTTTCCTAGGAGTCAACGCATGACAACGCCTCTTCTTAGGAGTCAACACATGACGACGCCTTTTCCTAGGAGTCAACGCATGACAAAGACTTTTCTTAGGAGTCAACGCATGACAACGCCTCTTCTTAGGAGTCAACACATGACAACGCCTTTTCCTAGGAGTCAACGCATGACAACGCCTCTTCTTAGGAGTCAACACATGACGACGCCTTTTCCTAGGAGTCAACGCATGACAACGACTCTTCTTAGGAGTCAACGCATGACAACGCCTCTTCTTAGGAGTCAACGCATGACAACGCCTCTTCTTAGGAGTCAACGCATGACAGTGATACTTCGTGTCTTCGCGTGACAGCGTCAGTCAACACGATCAACACATTGGCGTAAACAGATCACTGCCACAAGTGTGTTTGGTATTGTATTTTATACTCCACTGACGTATTAAGCAATAGAACTAAAATATAGAACAAACTTTATGCATAACAACTTCTTTTTATTCGTGAGTGCGATGTTTCGATACAGATTCTTGTACCACTGTCAAGCAGGAATGGAACATGAAGAAGGGGGATGTATATATACTCAGCAGCAAAACAAACGTCAGTACGAATTCAAAATTAGATAGGCACTGTAATCAAATCATTACAGAAATGGACATAATAAGCGGATCAAACACATTTTTGTGTACAATATCCTGACACATCAATTAATAACTCAGCACAATTCCAAGACATTACGTGAACGTTTGCAGTCCATTCAGACTCTTGACTTCAGTTTCTAGTGTGACCACCACGAGCGGCAATAACTGCAGCACAGCGTCTATGCATGGAGTGCACCAATCGATTAATGAAGGCCATTGGCACCTTGAACCACACTCTGAGAAAGGCCTGGCGCAATAAATCGGCTGTGTTCGGCCTTGGTATGACATTATTCAGTTTCCTCTGAATTTCATCCCAAAGATGTTCAACTGGGTTTCAATCAGGACTAAGGACTGGCCACTGCATAATATTGACACCGTTCTGCTGTAGGAAGTCCCGTGTATCTCTGGCAGTATGGGCCCGGGCGTTATCATGCTGGAAAATGTTGTTCCGGTGACGTGCGAAATGTGGTATGACGTGGGGTCTGAGAGCTTGGTCGATGTAGCGCACCGCTGTGATGCCGCCTCCTCTCCCTGGACCAAGGTTCTGGAACACCACAGGACCCACTCTCTGGTTCAGGCCTATTCCACCCCATACCATGATGCTTGCACCTCCCCATGGGTCTCTTTCCATAAAACATTGGTCTGAGTAACGCTGGCCACGTCGTCGCCATATTCTTGTTCTGCCATCTGCAGTTGATACGCAGTACCGACTCTCATCTGTGAACAGAACAGTTCTCCATTGCCTGTATCGCCAGTTTTGGTGGTGTAGGGCAAACTGTAGACGTTCACGCCGATGACGAGGGGTGAGGATAGGTCCACGGTAAGGTCTACGGTAATGGAGGTTCCCGCTGTTAAGACGTCGGCGTACTGGATCAGTACTGATTGGTCTTCCGTGTGTTCCCACTGTCTGGCGTGCTGTTTCGGATGCCTGCATGAAGGGATTCTGTACATGCTGTCGCACAACATAGCGGTCTTGTCATCTTGTGGTCACCCTTTGTCTGCCAGTACGGGGCAATCATTTGTGGTGTTGGTGGCCCTGAAACCTTGCTGCAGCCTGTAGATGGTCCGAACGTTGACCTGGAAGTGATTAGCAACGGCTTGTGCAATGTGGCCAGCTTCAAGTCTTCCTAGCGCCTGGTTCCTCTGAGCTGTCGTGAGAAGGGGCATCCAGCTGACGTTGTAATGTGAATGTTTCAACCAGGTTTGGGGGTGCATTTTATAGCGCTGGTCCTTGTGAACAGCACGGGCAGCATGAGTTGCATGAAAAACATGGAGAACACCGTACCATCTCCGAGATCAGGCAGCGTTTTTGAGATCATTTCCTGGGTTCCATTCTGAGTTTGGGAAGGAATGTCTTTGCTCAGGTAAAGTTGGAGATGTTGTGAAAAATATATAAGTCTGTTTGTTTGTTTGTTAGCGAGAATGGTGATGTCAGACCACTCTCTTTGATTATTGGGGCTTGCTTTGATGTGGTCGGAAATGGCTGATTTGCTGTCGGAATTGGTAACAGAGGTCTGATGTTCTTTCACTCGGGTGTTGATGGGTCGGGACGTTTCGCATATGTAGCTCTGTCCACAATCACAGTTTATTTTGTAGATGACACATTTTGTGTTGTTGTTCTTGACGGTGGCTGGTTTTCTTCCAATGGCAACGCAAAATAAACTGTGATTGTGGACAGAGCTACATGGGCGAAACGTCCCGACCCATCAACCCATCAAGAAAAGAAGTTAGAACTAAAATGTTGCTGAACTCATTGACTGTAATTTCGTTGATATTTTTCACGTGTACGCAATTGTATGAAATCCATATATTTAGTGTTTGATGCACGTTTAGTTTTTTGATATATGTCCCTGGTGTTTGATATGCATGTCCCTGGTGTTTGATATGCATGTCCCTGGTGTTTGATATGCATGTCCCTGGTGTTTGATATGCATGACTCTGCTACGTGATATCCATGAGTGTAATGCAACCACGATTGTTCACCAGGAAGTCCAGAGGAAGTAGGTGACTAGTTTTGCATATTCTATACGTTTTGACACCAAGAATATCACTTACAAAGTTAACAATTCTGGATATGATCTCGGTCAACACTTCTCACAAGTGTTCAAGTGGCATGGCTTGATGTACACTGATAGTGGCAAGAAAGTAGATTGAATCTTGTGTCAACAAGGCTCTCTCAAAAAGGAAGGACATGAGAATACTGATATCCCTACATCACGCAGCATATGAAAGACAAGAATAGCCTTGTCCCTACATCACAGGGATTGTATACGGCTGCAGAATATCTTTGTCCCAGTATCACAGGCAGCGTATAAAATATGAGCAAGGTCTTGTCCCTAAATCACGGTAAGCGTATAAAACATAAGCATGGTCCTGTCCCTATAAAACATGAGCATGGTCCTGTCCCTATAAAACATGAGCATGGTCCTGTCCTTGAATCACAGGCAGCTGTGAAAACATGAGTATAAAACACTGTCTTGTCATAGCATCACAGGGAGCGTATAAAACATGAGCCAGGTCTTGTCATCATAGCATCACAGGGAGCAGGGAGCGTATAAAACATGAGCAAGGTCTTGTCATAGCATCACAGGGGAGCGTATAAAGCACAAGCAGATGTCTTGTCATAGCATCACAGGGGAGCGTATAAAACATGAGCAAGGTCTTGTCATAGCATCACAGGGAGCGTATAAAGCACAAGCAAAGGTCTTGTCATAGCATCACACAGGAGTATAAAACATGAGCAAGGTCTTGTCATAGCATCACAGGTAGCGTATAAAACATGAGCAAGGTCTTGTCATAGCATCACAGGGAGCGTATAAAACATGAGCAAAGGTCTTGTCATAGCATCACAGGAGCGTATAAAACATGAAGCAAGGTCTTGTCATAGCATCACAGGAGAGTAGCCAGGTCTTGTCATAGCATCAAAACATGAGCAAGGTCTTGTCATAGCATCACAGGTAGCGTATAAAACATGAGCAAGGTCTTGTCATAGCATCACAGGTAGCGTATAAAACATGAGCGTATAGGTCTGAGCCAAGGTCATAGCATCACAGGGAGCGTATAAAACATGAGCAAAGGTCTTGTCATAGCATCACAGGAGCGTATAAAACATGAGCAAGGTCTTGTCATAGCATCACAGGTAGCGTATAAAAACATGAGCAAGGTCTTGTCATAGCATCACAGGGAGCGTATAAAACATGAGCAAGGTCTTGTCATAGCATCACAGGGAGCGTATAAAACATGAGCAAGGTCTTGTCATAGCATCACAGGGAGCGTATAAAACATGAGCAAGGTCTTGTCATAGCATCACAGGAGAGCGTATAAAAAAACATGAGCAAGGTCTTGTCATAGCATCACAGGTAGCGTATAAAACATGAGCCAGGTCTTGTCATAGCATCACAGGAGCGTATAAAACATGAGCAAGGTCTTGTCATAGCATCACAGGGAGCGTATAAAACATGAGCAAGGTCTTGTCATAGCATCACAGGAGCGTATAAAACATGAGCAAGGTCTTGTCATAGCATCACAGGGAGCGTATAAAACATGAGCCAAGGTCTTGTCATAGCATCACAGGGAGCGTATAAAGCACAAGCAAGGTCTTGTCATAGCATCACAGGGAGCGTATAAAACATGAGCAAGGTCTTGTCATAGCATCACAGGGAGCGTATAAAACATGAGCAAGGTCTTGTCATAGCATCACAGCATCACAGGA